AAAACACTTTTTCATCGACTACATCTTCTGCTACAATATTTTTTTTTGTACCAGCCACCGAAGTTATTTTTCATTTTGTTTGTCTGAGTTTGAAAATCTTTTTCACTAGTGAAACAAAAAATGCTGGTTTCTATTTGAAAAAGAATACCTGATTTATGATAATTTTTTAATTGCTTAATTCCATGACGATAAATAAGCCAATATTATATGACATTCGAACAATTTAATTTTTGATATACCGCGTGGTGCATCGGAACACGGGACATAGAAAATTATATGTTAATTTTGGAAAATTCAAATATCTCCCCAGACGATTTTATGCAAAAGTTCAATTATATTTTTTTTGAAGAACCCCTAGAGTTGGACTTTAGTACAGAATTTCGTTTCATTTGGAATAGTAATTTAAAAGATATTTTTGCAAAAATCTACCTTTAAATTAGTAAAATTTGTAATACGGCCCAGAGAAAGCTACAATTAAAATACCAGCAAAAATGTGTCATTTTCAAATTCAATGTAATTATGAATTTCGCAACTTCTAAAAACACAACTTCTCAATAGTTACGATGGTTAAACGGAATTTTGCTGGAAATAGTATTCCCGCTGTGTAAGATATGTTCGCAGCTCCGTCTCCGGAAAGCGACTCGTATATACCGAAATAAGTCGACAGATCAGAACAGATTAAAGAATAAACCAGAGGTTTGAAACTAAAGGCACTAAGGTATTAAGCACATGGAAGTGTGAAGACAAAAATAATTGAACAGGAAAAAAATAACAATGACTTGGATATTCTTCATATTGAAGAATAGAAAAACATTGACTCCTGTTTATTGGGGATACAGTAGGAAAAGACCACAGCATCTTTCGCCAAACGACTATGGAGCACAGTCAAAATCAGTCTTTACGCATACTAAATATAGAAATTCAGATGGACTGAAAACGACACCTCTGTGGAATGATATTGGCTGGAAGATTCTCCTCAACAGTTTTATATTGTGAGGAATGAATTTCACAATCATTTGGGGGTATTGTTTAGCTATGAATGGGGAATTATGTAAACATTTTAATAATTAGTATAGTTTAATAAGGTTTCTTGTGTTACAAATATTTCGATTATCCCTTGAATTATTATGGATGTATGTGGTATAAGCGAGGCCTGGGGCGAGTAATCGAGTAATGAAAAGCAAACAAGTCATACACCGCAAATACTATTCTCACTTCAACCAATTCTTTTGTAGATGATCATTCCAATTCAGAAAAAATTAGCCACCTTTTTCAAACAAGAGAAATACTTGTAAACAAAAAAATGTGATATTGAATTTGACAATAACAAAACCATAATTTTGCTTGTATTTTAACTATTGCTTTCTTTGGACTGTATAACAAATTTTTAGCAATTTAGTGAGGTAGATTTTTGCAAATACCTTTTAGATGCCTATTCTAAATAAAACAAAATTCTAGACTACAGTACAATTTTAACGTTTCTTCAAAAAGGTCTTATAAGTATATAATAAAAAATGGAAATAATAAAGTTAAATTTAAAACCCATTTAAAATAAGAAAGTTGCACTTTCGGTATTGCCGGAAGTCCAATTGAAAATAATTTTAATCGATAGAACTCGTAAAAAAATGATGTGCAAAAAATCTCGGATCTAGATATTGAAGATGTCTAGAAACTTCTAATGAATGCTCAGTCTGGGACACCCTGTATATCAAACAATGGCGGTTCCTTAACTAGTGCATATGTGCATGTGTATGCTTTCCCCTTTAAATTAAAAGCCTCTTCTTGAGAAAAAAACGCAATTTAAATCATTTTTCATAAATTCTCTTTATTCCAAAAACGATTCATCTAGATATAATAATATATCATTGAAATTAGTACACTAAAATGTCTTATTTAGAATTAAGGCTTATTAAAAAGACTCCCAATCGCTATATAAATCGCTAAATGCAAAATATTCGGAACGTGCTTATTCCACGTGTGTTAAGGTTTTATTCTATCAGATTTGTCAGTTCTATTCTATCAGATTTATTCTACCGCGTCACTCGATCACTTTGTTCGCTCTAATCTGTGGTTCACGGCTAATCGGAATGTTAGATCTAATTGATAAAACATTTGCGACCGGCACCCTTTTTTCCCCGTGACACTCCAACGATATTCGATGAATCCCGTGTGCACATGCGATTCGTGCACATGAAGCACGCAATTAGAATTATGAGCGTCGTATTGGATATTCTTCTTTCAAGAACTACGAAAATTACATTAGCGTGCAATATTTAAGGAGAATACATTTTTTGTTTGTATATTTTACTAAAAGAATATCATATAATTAGCAGCTTTAGATTCACGGTATTTTAATGTTATTATCACATAGTTATTATCAAATTATATACTCGTAATTTGATAACCCAAAAACGGTCATTTTTGAGCGTGATTGAGTGACAATTTGTTTCAAAAGATGTGCACCCCAAAAGTATTGAAGCATATATATGCCACTACTGTTGAGATGTACATATAATATTATTTTTTGTCATAATTATGTGTCGGCTACGTTTATATAATCTTCTTAAATATCATGTTTTTATTTATTTTTTATAATTTAATTGTGTTATTTCTTTTTTGTAACATATTATATTTTGTAGTAGTTCCTGTTGTTAGTTTGTGTTTGTGAAATGTTTGTTTTTATTAACTTATTTTTAATTTTGTGTATAAGTAATATATTATGACATTTTATTAATTGTCTTATATTTAGTTCTTTTGTTTTTGCAAACAGCATGTCACATAATTGCCTCATTACGTTATTAATCACTTTTTTTGGAAAGCTCATCAGCGCTTTGACATAAAATTAGACGCAGAGTTGCCCGAGTTCATCTATTATCTGGAGTGACAGTTCGATACGTTTAAGACCAGAAACCAATTTGTTGCGAGAATTAAGCGACATGAAGAAATATAAAAGAAATGAAACAGTGTAGTAAACTGAAGGAATATTGCTTCAAAGTTTCTGTAAAAGTTTCTTGTTATGATTTAGGTAATTTCAGAGGCTCCCATAAGGCCTTTTCTATTACATTTTTGAGAATTGTGTATTATTTTATATCTAGCTCAAGAAATCCATATCATCTGTTAATTTATATTTATACATATGCTTCGTTTGTCAAAACATGTTAGAAAAGTTAAATTTAGATAATCGCGCATTAATAGAGTGGGTTCTTACTTTCATTATTATGACACCACCGCCCCCCCCCCACAATGAAAGAAATGTTAAAAATTATTTATGTCATAATTATGTAGGACTCAGGGATAGAAAGAGCTGGACAAATTGCATAGGCCTCCTCGATAACCTGACCTATCCATTTTAGATTTTTTTATGTGGCATGGTTAACAACAAGGTTTAGAAAAGAACTTATGAATTCACTCGAAGCGGCTGTACAGGAGAAGTTTAATTAAGTCCACCGGTCGTTCTGTGAGAATAGCTAGAAATTTCATTTTAAAAAGATGCATTTATGTACTCAAAACAATTGCGGATTTTTTGAACATTTTCTAAAATAACTTAAAGTGAATGTGATCATATAATTTTTTTAAGTTTTAGTTTGTGTAATGTAAATTGTAAAGAGCCGTTTATTAATATATTTTGTCTTTTTATAAGTTATAAATCATAACAGAATAAGAACACCATGCCAACAAAGTGAAATTAGTCAAGAAAGATAAGAATTGGCTAGAACTCAGTAATTTTTTGAAAAAAAAACATATAGCTTATATTGCTGAAAAGCTTAAAAAATGGCGCTTTTTGTGAAGTCATGGTCAACTATGGTTTCCATTAAAAAAAAAACATATGTTTGTGTCATATGTCAAAAACGGCAAGGTTTAAAAAAATCTGAGAACACAAACTCATTAGGGATATGATTATCTATAAGTTTTATCTGAAAAATGTTTGTCTAAAATAGATTACAATAAAACTGGGACAATTTTTAAAATAGCCAAATTTTGTTTTTTTCGAAATATCTAGTAAGCCATGAACTTTTTCAAAAATCTGAAAGGCGCATTATTATGACCCCACAAAACTGCAATGCTTTCACCATTTAACTGACTCTCTATATCCAGTAGTTTCCGGGATACCCATAGAGAACATCGCAGGAAACTCTTTGTTTTGTTGCGATGTTCCTTTGAAATTTTTGTTTTCCAAAATATATTGGTTAAAAAAAATATATAAAAGCTTAACCACGTGATTAAAAGTTTATTTGGTATGATTGAAATACTTTCTAGTATTTTATGTCAATATCATCGATTGTCATTCCCTAGCCGTCTTGACGCCGTTTTTTTTTCTCGATCATAGGTATATATATATATATATATATATATATATATATATATATATATATATATATATATATATATATATATATATATATATATATATATATATATATATATATATATATATATATATATATATATATATATATATATACACGTTTAAAAGTGAGTCCCCTTTTAACCACATGCTTTCTCAGAACATTTATAATATTATTTATAATATATTTTCTATATTTCAAAGCAATAGTTAAATTTCTTAAAGGTTTTTACATTATTATCAAGAGAAAAGACTGCAACTTTCTTATCTAACCTTATCTCCAGTTTTAAAATTTGATTTTTCGTATATACAAAATTTAACATATGTTTTAAAATTAATAAAAATATTTATTAATATATTCATTGATATCGGATTAAAGTAAGTAACAAGTAAAATCTATTTTAAATTATTATGAATAATTTTATTTGTTATAATCATCAGGGGTACCAAATCTTTTTCGGTGTTTAAAAAAAATGACATAACCTCAAACACGAAATTGAAAAGGGAATGCATAAAAGCAACAATGTTGTTATTAGATTGTGCATTAAGACAATAACTGTAACTATTACATATTTATTATTAGGTATTGAATTGTCTGATAATGACACAATTCAAGGACAGTTACACGTGGTTAAATTAGAAATAAAAAACTTACCTCATGGTGTAATCGAGCGCCTGATCCATGTTTATCACAGAAAAAAATTCGACTATCCACAAAAATGCACAAATTACAGTCCTTTATCCTCCTTCCTCACCGACACCGTGCACTCTGCCCGTTCGCGAAAAGTTCATTACAACCAGCACAAAACTTAAGATTAATAGACATTTGATACCTACGCGAAAGCTATCCCTTTTCTACGAATAAATACCACACGAAAAAAATACAATATCTAAGAGTTGCAGAAATTGGGTGCGCTTATCAAAATATAAATACACTCGCACAAGAGATAAAATTGCTGAAATTATTTGTTCTTTCATGGGTTTACAAAAAAGTCCGTTGCCAGTCTATGGTACGAGTGTATTATTGTAACCGTGACGCTATCTGTGTTTACTTAATTGTACGAAGAAAGATGAAAAAAATTAAGCTCGCAAATAATGCTTAAATAAACTTGCGATTGGACAGAAAAAGTCAGTTGCAATACCGTAGCGATAACCGTTTCAATGTTTTATTAGTGCATATTGAAAATATCTACTTGTGATCTAATGATGTAATTAATAAGTGTTGATTAAAGAATTTATTTTCTTTGCAATTAATTGTATTAAGAACAATTGAATAGTACATAGATTTTATTTTTAATATAAAGTAAAGATATTTATTATTTATTGACCAATATACAAATTAAGATCTCTTTAATGCAATCTTTTTTTTTAATTGACACTAAGAAACGTAAATTAAGGTACAGTAGTAAAATGCCTTAAATCAATAATATGCACAAATGCATCTAACCTTATTAGAATAATATTTTCAACGATAAATTTTGAAGCATTTAAAAATTTTACGACTATTTTGAGCTGCCATAATGACATTCCACCGATGCTGATAACTATATTTGCTTAAAGTATTTACACATTGTATTTTAGTACACTTCTTTTCCAAAATCAATAATAATGAATAGAGAGATAAATAAATTGGCGTCCATGTCAATATCGCGTCATTTATAAGATATTATAAAAATTAGAAAGGTGGATGAATCACTTACGGTAAAAAAAGATTTTGGCTGTATCAAATAGTTAGATAAATATACAAAAGTTTCTGAGTGAAGAATACACTTTCAATACAATTTTAATTATAAATTATCTAATTATATAGGTTGTCAAAAAATAGTGAATCCAGGTTTGGCAGGCCATTCTAAAGGTAAAAATAAAACAAAAAGTTCCTATGAATAAATGCCGAGAGTTACAGCCCTCGAAAGGTTATATAAAAATTTTGTTTATTTTTAAGAACATCGGTAAATGCTTTTCCTGAAATTTGGTTCTCTTACTCACATCTCAATGCCAAAGCGAATGGCGATTGTGAAAAATTCCGTAACAGCCCTGAAAGGGTGCTTTCCATTAGGGTAGAGAGAAACTACTGGTATGGTACCTCTTTTATCCTTATAGATATGGTAATTTCAGCAAATGATATAAAAAGCTAGAACTTGGAACTGGAAAGTACCCTTCCATTTTAACCAACAAGATGAGCACAGTAAAAGATGTGAGTGTTCTTAACAAGTTTCGAACAGGCACCTGGACAGCAGGCTGCATGAAGAAGAAAAAAAACACGCAACAGCTCATGGACACTGTACTAAACTGCGCAAAAGAAGTAGGGGGCCCACAACGGCATAACAAAAATAATAAACTGACTGATGAGACGAAAGCGCTTCTCAAGAAAAGAAGAAAAATGAAAACCGAGAGCAGCATACATAGAATAGAATACACAGAATTATGTAAGAAAATAAGAAAGGGGATTGTAGAAGACATCAAAAACTACAATGAAAAACTTGTTAAAACTGCAATCGAACACAGAACAAGCTATAAGAACGCTCAGAAATCACTCATAATCGGAAAGAAGCAGTTAATCGCATTAACACACATCAGAATAACAGACAAAAATGAAATAATAAGCCTGGTAACAAAAGCGACCAAAATCTATAGCGACCTATATAAATTCCCAGACAACGCACATGAAGAAGAAAGACTACTCCTACTACAAGACGACGAACGCCTCAGAAGTTCTCGTGGGATAAGTAAAAAAGGCGCTTCAAGATATGAAGAATGGAAAAGCAGCAACATCAGAAACTATTAGACTAATAAAGCCTACTACCAGTAGCATACAAGATATTCACAAAAATATAATAAACAACAGAATATCAAACATACTAGACTAGCCATGGCCGGAACAGCGATTTTTTAATAACAGGTACAAGCTGTTCCAGTTGCAAAAGATACCTGTTCCAGGAAATCTGTTCCAGTTCCAAACTGTTCCAAAACGAAAATTAATACCGTACTTGCGTAATGGAATTTATTGCTTAATTGATATATTGAATTAATTGTATAATTATATACGCTAGGATTATATCAGTTAATTTGTATATATTATTAATTTCGCTAAAAATATAAAATTAAAATATTACCTTTCATACCCACTATTGCTTCTATAAGATAATAAATTCATGTAAGAAATATCTACATATACCTCTGTGGCGGATTCATCTCTCCAAAAAAATTCTTTAGGTATTTCGCCACTGTAAAAAAAATCTACAACATAGAGTAGTTATTTTTTGTAAACATTGCTGCGGTAATCCAGCGGAGACTAATTGTGAGCAATGGTTTATTAACAAACAAATTTGCCTAACGGACAAAAAATGCTTGACGTTTCGGGAAGTATATCTCCTCCTGTCGTGGGAAGCAAAAAAACACAAAGAACAAAGAAAAAAACTATTTAAAATATCTAAATGCAACTATTCGAGAACACTTTAGTTTTTCTAACACTGATACATCTACAAAAACCGTTGACGTTCTGTTAAAATGACATTATATCAAGTTAAACTTCACAACTAACAATTACTACGAGATAACAATTACTTAATAAGTTAAAACCAAAAAGCTTCAAACTTTCTGCATGATTATTTTTAATTTGTTTTTAATTTTTACGTACGAGGCTGGGCTGAAAAATAATCGGCCTAGGTAAGGAAACACAACTTTTTTTCGGCAAAGCTCAATTTATTTCTCAACGTAGTCCCCGTTAAGCTCTATACACTTTGTCCAACGATTCTCCAATTTTTCGATGCCCTTCGAATAATACGATTTTTCGAAGTCCTTAAAATAGGCCTCTGTCGCAGCGATGACCTCCCCATTCGACTCAAATCTCTTACCATCGAGCCATTTTTTCAACTCTGGAAACAGATAATAGTCGCTGGGCGCCAAATCTGGGGAGTATGGCGGATGAGGAACAAATTCGTAACGCAATTCATACAGTTTTGCCATTGCGACTGCACATTTATGCGCCGGTGCGTTGTCCTGGTGGAAGAGCACTCTTCTTCGCTAAATGGGGTCGTTTTTTCTTCAAATCGGCGTCGAATCGGTCCAACAGCTTTGAGTAATATTCGCCTGTGATCGTTTTGCCCTTTTCAAGGTAATCGATATGAATAATACCGTGCGCATCCCAAAAAACTGTGGCCATGACCTTGTTGGCAGACAGACCCACCTTGGCTTTTTTGGCTTTGACTCGCCCTGAGAAACCCACTGCTTTGACTGTTCCTTCGTCTCTGGCGTATTGTGGTGGATCCAAGTTTCATCCACGGTTACAAAATGGCGCAAAAAGTCCTTCTTATTGTGGTTAAACATTGCCAAACACTCCTTTGAAGTTGTCACACGGTTTCGCTTGTTGTCGGCATTGAGCAAATGCGGCACTCATCTGGCAGCGAGCTTCCTCATTCCCAAATATTCGTGCAATATATTCTCCACTCATTCACGTGAGATGCCCACAACCTCAGCAATCTCGCACACTCTTACCCGTCGATTGTCAATTACCATACCATGGATTTTATCGACCACTTCTGGTGTGGTGACCTCTCTTGGACGGCCTTGACGCTCATCATCAAAAATTATCGTACGACCGCGTTTAAATTCGGCAGTCTAATATTTTATTGTTGATAACGAAGGTGCAAAGTCCCCATACACATCATCCCGTTCGATTTTGATCTCATCGTTCGTTTTCTTTTTTAAAAACAAGAATCTAATCACTGCGCGATATTCGATTTTATTCATTTTTCTAAAAATGCAAAATCTGTTCGTCTTCAATCACTGTCAAGTGCAAACTAAGTGACGCAGCTCGCTGAAAATTCAACAAAAGTCACTTGAAAGATAGTTTTTACGAAAAACAATTGCATTTGTTCCTAGCGCCGCCAGCTCTTGTCGAGGCCGATTATTTCTCAGCCCAGCCTCGTATGTTATGTTTATTTAGTTACGTTTTTTAAAATCAAAGAAGCGATTGCCATACATTACATATTTTATTCTGCAAACTTTAACATTACTGACATCAACAGATGCATCACAAGTAGCATCTATCTGACTTCGAACTAAATCTGACCTGAAGCGACGTCAGACTTGTGCAAATTTAGGTCGGGTGCTGGTGATACGATCTGTGACGTCGCTTTCCTATTAAAAGCGACGTCGTTGGATCCGAGTCGGTAAATCCAACGATCTGTCGACGTACAAAATAACAACGTACCATTTTTATTCATTTCCCAACGTCGTTCCCACGTTGGCTTGCACGACGTACATATACTTGAACTAGCCCGACGTCTACCCGTTGTCCGAATAGGATACGTCTCACTGATAATCCCTAAACTAACGTCCAATTATATTTTGTTGTATTTTATGTTCATATTTATAACCTAATTTACGTATCTCTATTTACGTCCGTTAATACAACCCATTAAGTAGCATTTGCGACCTAATGAACATCATGAACATAACTTAATAAAAAGTTTTTGTAAACAAACTTAACAGCCTAAAAAAACACTAAAAAGGCATTTAGACATTCATCTACATTTTACAGAAAGAGGTCAAGGCTTTTGCAAAATAATAATAGTAGTAGTGATGTCTTGCCTCCACTCATAAATGATTTTTATCCGGCAGAGATGCTGCATTACACTGGTGCATCTTAATTTCATTTTTTAGCTTAGGAAACCAGCAGACCCCATCCTCCTCCCACATGTGAGGTTAGGCTTAAAAAAGTGGCTGCCCAAAGTGTGATAGTTGCACAAATCCACAAATCACTGATACGCAAAGTGAGGTTACGTGGCGTATTATATACGTCATAATACGATTGCCGGTCGTCCCGTTTGATGACTTCGGTCGTGTGAGACGACTAATGTTGGAGATCCGGTCGGAATTGGTATATTGGTAG